AGTGGAATTGGCATAATTTGCTGTAATCGAATTTTAAGTTTTGCTAGGGTTGATGGGTGTCTTTGAGTTTCAGAATAGTGCCTGCTAGGCAGAAAAGAAACTAGAATTTGCTTTAACATAGAAAACAATGTGCTGCTTCATGTTGTTCTCTCTATGTCCATCAATCATCACTTCCAAGTGAACAAGGTTTAGGAAAATGAAGTAAATGTTTCTTTAGCAATATGAGAGAAGAAAAGCATTCTTGATTTTACATCTTCTAAGGGTATAAAATTAGGGAGTCTATAGTATATAATATAAATGTATACACCTATACTTACATAAGGTTTCAAAATTAAAATGGCATAATACTTTAGTAAATTTCATCCATGCAGCTCAAGGTGCTTTACAAATGAATATACACATTCATAATCTCATTTTTAAAATAGAAATGATTTACCCAGAGTTTACAGCAAATCAGTAACAGCAATTCAGGGCCAGCCTTGAGTTGTTTTATTGCTATTATGACTTATTGTTTCTATGACACCATAACTGTTAGGACCCTGCCAAATTCATGGTCATGAAGAATGCATCATAGACTGTGAAATCTGTTTGCCGCCCCCTCCCATGAATTTTAGTCTTTTGTAGGCTTTTACCTTATATTATACAGAGATAATAGGGGAGAGCAGCATTTCTCAAAATGGGGGGCCTGACCCAAAAGGGAATTATAGGAGAGTCAGAGGGTTATTTTAGAAGGGTTGTGATATTGCTACCTTTACTTTTGCGCTGCCTTCAGAGGAAGGTGGCTAGAGAATCGTGCTATGGGCTGGGCACCCAGTTCTGAAGATAGTGCCCTGTCAGCAGCAGTATAGAAGTAAGAGTGGCAATGTCACACCAGGCTATCCTTACTTCGCTGCTGCTGCTACAGGGAGCTGCCTTCAGAGCTGGGCAGCTAGAGAGTGGCAGCTGCTGACTGCAGGCCCAGCTCTGAAGACAGCAGCACAGAAAGGTGACAATATCATACCATGCCATTCTTATTTCTGCTCTGCCTTCAGAGTTGGGCTCCCAGCCAGTAGCCAGAGCTTTCTGCTGTCCCACGCTGAAGGCAACACCAGCAGCAGCACAGAAATAAGGGGAGCAATAGCTCAACCTCTCACAATAACCGTGCAACCATCCTACAATTGCCTTTTGTGTCAGGACCTCTACAATTATGATACCAGGAAATTTCAGATTGAAGTAGCTGACATAATGAAATTTACAAATTTTAAAATCGTATGACCATAAAATAGAGCAAAACGGACCATGATTTTGGAAGGGTCCTGTGACGAGGCAGGCAGTGAAGCAGCGCCGCCCCGCACTGGAGACAGCCCCAGGGAGTGGGCGGGAGACTGTGGGCTGACGGCGGACAGCCGTGGGTCCAGAGGCGGTGCGCCAGAGGCCGGCGGCGGCGCCACAACTGCAGGTGAACGGATGAATGCGGCGCAGCTGGATGACGCCGCAAATGACGTCATGTGCACGCCCCATAGGGACTGGGCGAGGAGCGCGGGGGCGGGGCTGGAGATAGATGCCGAGGCAGGCAGTTTACAAAGGGGCAAGGACCCCCGACAAGGGGGGTGTGAGCCGGAGCGAAGGAGCGCGCATTCCAGGAGGAGAAAGCAAGTAAGTCTGGCCCTGCACTGGGAGCCATAGGATCCGTCGGGGAAGAAGTGGCCCAGGGCAGGGCCATGGACCCCGTGAGCAGAGGGTTTAGGGGCTCCAGCCCCCTCCACTGAGTAGGGACGAGTGCTCCTGCCTTAGGGCCCTGGGCCGGGGCTCGGAGAGAGGGAGGGCCCGAGCCCCCTTCCCTGACCCGAGAGGTCACCTACGCCGAAGCTCTAGAGGCCCTCTTAAACCCAAACCCGGTCCAGAGGAGAGCCGGTCCGAAAAGACCACATATAAAAATGCTGAGAATCGTAGACACTGTTCGGTTCGTACGGGGGGGAGTAGGGGACGATTTAGGGGAACCGGTAACAGGCCCTAATAATTGTTCACGGAGTATGGCAAAGTCCTTGCTCAGGTCCCTCATCCTGGGACCCCTTCTTTAGCCACAGACCAACAAGAGACCCTCTCTTGTGCAATCACTCATGTCTTTATTGTCCATGCCAATTTCTCACCACCTTCTGTTTACAGAGCTGCTTGTTTGTGCAGCAAACTCAGCTATCCTCGCTAGCTGGCTGGGGTGCACACTTAGCCTCTCTATGGCACTTCCACTTCCCCCAAAAACTGCCTCTCTGGCTGCCTTATCTAGCCCTCTGGCTAATGAGTCCCACAGCTGGTTTCCATTAGCCCCTTGGGCACATGGGCTTGCTTGGCTGGCCTCAACTGCCCTTTTCAGCCAGGCTGTAGTGGCAGAGCTCTGGCTTAGCAGCCTGTCACAGGGGATATCCAGTCAAGTTAAAGAAAATGTCTCTGTCCTGAAGAACCTAACTTCTTAGGTTCCTTCCACATTTACTTCACTCTTCCTCAGCTGCTGCAGTGAAAGTAGCTCAGCTATGCTCATGATGAATCTGGCTAAGGCTACGTCTAGACTGCAAGCCTCTTTCGAAAGTACTGCTTGCAGTCTAGACACTTTTTCGAAAGAGGCTTTTTCGAAAGTATCTTTTGAAAAAGCCTCTTTCGAAAAAGAGCGTCTAGACTGCAAGCAGTACTTTCGAAAAAGCAAGCTGCTTTTTCAAAAGATAGCACCCAGGCAGTCTGGATGTTCTCTTTCGAAAAAGCCCTGTTTGCATTCAAGAATGCCTTTTTTCGAAAGAGCACTTTCGAAAAAAGGCGTTCTTCCTCGTGAAATGAGTACCGCCGTCAAAAGAAAAGCCGCGTTCTTTCGATTTAATTTTGAAAGAACGCGGCTGTAGTCTAGACGCAGGTGAAGCTTTTTCGAAAAAAGGCTACTTTTTTCAAAAAAAACCCTGCAGTCTAGACACAGCCTAAGAGAGTAGGAGATCAGAAAATCCAGGATCTTAAGTTGTTGCCTCCATAAGCTGTGAGCTGTCCGAGCCTGTGGTGCCCTGGCACTGGAAATATTCCTGGCCCAGGGCCAGGCTCTATGAAAGTTCAGGGCCAGGTCTCTCTTCAGCCCTACCTGCCTCCCCTGCAAGCTCCTGCCCCCTGTGCATCTGTTGGCCCTACCTGTTGCCCCTGGCTGATTTAAAATGCCCAAGGGACCTTGCTGCTACTACCAGCAGTGCAGGAGCAGCTTCCTGTTGCTTACTTGTGTTGGCTGCCAGCACCTCCCTGTGTGTGTACATACACACACTCGCACAGAGACATCTCCTTGCATCCCCCCACCTCAGGGACTCGTGCTGACAGTTGAGCAGAGTGAGTGTCTAGAAGCTGCTCCAGCCTCGCTTATGCTGTTGCTGATGGTGGCAGAGCTCCTTGGGGCATTTTAAATTGCCCAGGAGCAGCAGGTGGGGTTGGTGGATGAATGAGGGTGGAAGTACATGGGGGCAGCAGGCAGGAAGCAGCATGAAGAGCCCCTGGCACCCTCCCCCCCCCAGGAGCTGCTTCCAGGGAGGAGTGCCCCAGGTAAGCATGGCACCTCTCACCCCCTCTCCTCACATTCCATTCTCTCCTACAGCTTATACCCTCTCCAGCCCGCAACCTCTTTCCCAGAGCTTGCTGACAGCACCCCCTTCTATACCCTCCCCTGCAGCCCTAGCTCATAGCTTGTACCTGAGCTCCCTGTCAGGGCCTGCATCCCTTCCTGCCTCCCAGAGTCTGAACCCAGCACCCAAAGTCCTTCTCAGAGCAGTAGGCATGTGAGGAGGGAGAGAGTTTGAATGGGGGAGGGGTACGGGTTCTGGGCATTCAGGGCACCACCAACATTTCTGCAAACCTGCTGTCCCTCATCAGGGGTAACATATTTATCATGTACCAGAATCTCGGGCAATCATCACCTTCAGTACACCTTCTGTACCAAGGAGACTCCAAAACATTAGAGGGACTATTTATTAGTTGATTCTATTTTTATAGCCTTTCTCAAACTATCTTAAAATACCTCACACAGTGATAACAGAATTAGAAGTTACATTACAGAAAAGCTTGTAAACAGGGCACAATTGTAAGAGAAAATGCATAAGAAGATATGCCAGAGTATAAGAGGAGAGAGTTTTTATTTAAAGTGCTAAGACAGCTAACAATTCTTTCTCTCTAGCTATAGTGCAAGGGCATAAGGAAAGGAAGCAAAGAGGGTTACAATGGATTGACTATATTATATGGCTACGTCTAGACTGGCATGATTTTCCACAAATGCTTTTAACAGAAAAGTTTTCTGTTAAAAGCATTTGCGGAAAAGAGCGTCTAGATTGGCACGGACGCTTTTCTGCAAAAGCACTTTTTGCGGAAAAGCGTCCGTGCCAATCTAGACGCGCTTTTCTGCAAAAAAGCCCCGATCGCCATTTTCGCGATTGGGGCTTTTTTGCGCAAAACAAATCTGAGCTGTCTACACTGGCCCTTTTGCGCAAAAGGACTTTTGCCCGAACAGGAGCAGCATACTATTTCCGCAAGAAGCACTGATTTCAGACAGTAGGAAGTCAGTGTTCTTGCGAAAATTCAAGTGGCAAGTGTAGACAGCTGCTTTTGTGGAAAAACTTGCCAGTCTAGACACAGCCTATATGTATATATGTATGTATGTATTTAACTTGAGAATTTTACTATTTGTTTAGGATGATTTCTTGTGATGCACTCACTAAGTGGCTGCGTATAGACTGGCAAGTTTTTCCACAAAAGCAGCTGTCTACACTTGCCACTTGAATTTTCGCAAGAACACTAGTATGCTGCTCCTGTTCGGGCAAAAGTCCTTTTGCGGAAAAACTTGCCAGCTGTCTACACTGGCCGCTTTGAATTTGCGCAAGAATACTGACGATCTAATGTAAGATTGTCAGTGTTTTTCCGCAAATACAACGTCTCTCCCGTTTGGGAAAAAGCCCTCTTGGGCAAATGCTTTTGCGCAAGAGGGCCAGTGTAGACAGCTGAGAACCATTTTGTGCAAAAAAGCCCTGATGGCGAAAATGGCGATTGCATTTGCGGAAAATCATGCCAGTCTAGACGTAGCCACTATGTGAAAAAATCTGCATAAGAGCAATTTATACTCTATTGAACTAAATGATTGAGATGCCCCCCCATGCCTTATGAAAATTGGCTTGTGAATATGAATATGAAAAACACAAAGATGCTTTATGCAAACAGGTCATGTAACCTATCAATTTTATAGTTACAAACTTCTGGAGCCGACTATCCTATTTTTATGCATGTACTATTCTTGTACGTGAAGTTAGAAGTGTGGATCTGTTTATACTTCTTAATGTGTTAGAGGGGGCTGTTATTGGTGTCCGGAAATTTAATAACTCTGTGATCAATTCAATACCTTGTAAACAGCCACGCTTGTCCTGCAAGCCCAAATGGTGGTTGGTCCTAGAAAGACATGTCATGTGGTACTGGAATCCATTTTGAACCTGGTAATATTCCATGGAGATGGGAGATGCAAAACAAAATATTCCCACCCTGTGGGAAAGTCTATTTAAGCAAAGGGAAGCAATCAAACCCTTTGTCTTCAGCTGTTTTTTTCAAAACTGCCTGGAACACCCTACTAGGATACACAAAAACTTTGAGGGCTGTAAACCCAAATCAGAGTAAAAGGCCAAATCTGAAAGCTTATACCTGAAATAAGAACAGCTGTTTAGAGTAAGAATTTGCATGCAACAAATTTCTTAGATGATTAGAATTATCTATGCATTTTCTATTCATTTTAATTAGTAAACTACTTACATCTGAATGTTTTCACTTTTAACCATTTCAATCCTACTTTTTATACTTAATAAAATCTCTTGTTTATTACCAAGCCCAGTGTTCACTGATGTTACCTAGGGAAAACAACCACTCTGCATATCTTTCTTTCATTGGTAAGGAGGACTGACCTAACCTTATAAGCCACTGCAAAATAATTCTGTAAATATTTATTTCAATGTTTACATTAATTTGTATCAGCCATCTCTGTGCTTCTTTGGTGACTTCTAATCACCATGTGATTAAGCTTCATTGCTGCTTTTAATTCTTATTGTTCAAGACCTCTGTGCTAAGCACTGTACACACCTACATAGCCCAGAACCTCAGCTGTTGTAAGTTGATGTAGCAACATTGATTTTTGAAGGAATTATGCAGCATGTACCATCTGGGAAATCTAGGAGTGGGTGTATATTAGCAAGAATAGTTGCAGAAAAGTTATACATTCACTCGAAGCCCAACTGTAAGTTATTTCCATCCAGTCAAAAAACAACGATGACCATGATTTTTCTTTCACAACACAGCTTGATTAGCAAGACCAAAGATCCATTCTAATAAGGTTGCTAACTCTCATGGTTGTATCACAAGTCATAATATTTGAGGGTTTTCTTAAAGCCCAAGTTTATGGAGGAATGAAAATATTCTCCAGCTACTGTTATTTTTCTGCTATCCCTTAAAGAAAATTGGTTTTAGTGTTCATAGTTGCTAGGAAAAGCCTGAAGATTGAAAACATGACCTGAATGCACCCTAAAGACTCAAAAACCAGAGGGGAAATAAATTACACTCCCAATCTCATCATTTTAAGCCAATCTGATCCTTTGAATTCTTGGGGTTGGAAATACTGTTCTCAGACCCTATCATCAGGAACAGAGCACCTGGAGACTTCTTTGGTTGGGCATTTACAGGATTTTCATCTTCTTGGGCCCCATTGTCAGGTTGTGGCCAGAAAAAAAAGGGTAAGGCCAAGGAACCCCTCTGTATTTGTACCCCATACTCTTCAGTTATATTATTATGATATTGAAATAATTATGATGCATTTTGTACAAGATAAGTCATGCATGGTATTTTTTGCATAAGCTGTGATTTGCTAAATATCTTATTGATATGCACATATCGCTGTTGTATCTGAATAATGAATATTGACTAGGAATCTGTATTTCACATGTAACCAGAGCTGGGTGACACCTGCTTGACAAAATTTTGAAAAGTCTATTCAAAGTTCTGACGGGTCTATTCAAAGTGGTGGTCCATTAGGAATCTTATCTCCCATTCAGTAAGACTTCTTGAAGATCTGTTGGACAGCATGTAAGTAATGACTGTTATGACCAGGCTACACAATTCTGGATTCCATTTTGGGATGTCAATTTTTCTACAAACTTGCCTGGGGATCAAATTTGAAACAAAGGTTTCTTGGCCTATACTAAAGTATATAAGGCAGAGAGTGGCATCATCTGTGATTCTTCACTCCCTCAGAACTGAACATCTAATAGAAGCTCCTAAAGGGAAAATACTTGGAATGGGAATGGGGATCCCAAGCTGCAAAGCAAATGCAGCTTGTCCCTTAAGAGTCTGCAAGCCTACTTGTATCATCAGCCAGAGTGAGAATTTGCTGATTTAAATCCCATCTTTCTAGGATGTTAGACTTAGTTTGTGTTTTTATTTACTAGGTAATCTGCTTTGATGTTTCTTGCCACTTATATGTTTTAATTTAATTTAAGTTAAATTAAATTAAACTTATTTTATGTTTTAATCTAAACCAATGAGTTTGAATGAAGTGCTTGGAAATGTTAGCTCAAGGGGCAAAGGTTGTTGCATTCCTTCCACACTGAGCAGGAGGTAAACTGGATGATAAATTCACACTGGTTGGGGATTTTGACCCAGCCAGGATGGTACTGCTCCGGGGTCCCAGGCTGGGAAGCTGGTGGTTATTTTGACGGTAGCCTCTTTACTGTTGGCTCACAGTGGATGGTCAGAGAGTCTGCAGGTAACTACAGCTGGGTGTGTCCTAGCTTTGTGAATGTTGGTGAAAGTGCAGGACTGGGAGGTCAGCAGCTTGTCACAACACTACAGGGAGAGGGGAAACCCAGACTAGTGGGTCAGAAGGCTCACTGGTTCCCCCGGTTCAGATGACAATGAAGGGGGAAACCTGCCACATTCTCCACTTCAGTGATTTTCCAACTGTGTCCTTGGACTAGGGTGACCATACAATGCACATTGGCCAGGACAGTCCCTTTTTAAAGCACTGTCTCAGGGATGTTGTGACTATCCATAAAATAAGCATTACAAACCCACGAAATGCAGAGTTAGTATTTTAAGCTTAAAAGAAATCTTAGCACGTTAAGTTGAAGGCAACCTAAAGAACTTTAGCTCATGAAAAGAAAAATAATAATCTTTAAAATTCAATGTGATCTAATCAGAGACCACAGCCACTAAGTTGTCTTAAGTCATAACTAAATAGTGACTCTATGTAATAGCCATCTCAGTTCCTCCAGCCCTCAGGATTTAGTCAAGACCAGCTGTCACCTGGCAGAGGACAATTTGTGTAGCTAACAGCAAAGGTGTGGGCTGCACTATTTCAGCTTCCTGTTCCCTTCACAGCTGTGTTCAAACACCAGGAGATCTGCAGGGAAGACTTAAGCAAGCCCTTTGTTTGAGGGAGCTTTCCCAGGCTTTTGCAAAAGGAATTCCGTTGTTCACATTCTCTCTGCCAAAGTTTCTTGGTTGGTTTCAGTTTTAACACCACCCATCTGAGACATACAGAAAGAAAAACAAAATGAAATGTGATTGAATACTGTAGGAAGAGCTACATGGGAAGCTGAAAGATTTCACACACAAGGCAAATACAAAGAAATAATTCAGAGAGGAGTTTCAAAATGGCAGGGTTATTACAGTGCACTCTCCTTTCCATATGGCACTTAAATTCAGCTGTATTATGCTACCCTGGCTACAGAGCAGGGATAAAAGAAATATCAAATTTCCTGGGTTCAAACCTTTCTAAAGGTGGTTTGTCATTGCAAAATGATGTGGTTTATCCTGAAAGTCAACTTACTGGTAGACTGAAAGATGTAAAATTGTCACTAATCACACCTGGCGACTGTCTGGGATTATTGCACAGGTGGATGCTGGTGTTACAAATAAAAACCAGAAATAGTGTTATAAAATGTTCAGATTCTTCACCAATCAGGAGCCTTTTTTTTTGGTTGCCCCCCAGTTAATTGTCAGTTAATAATCAACCATTGACTGCTGTTTTTTTTCTCTGTTTTATCAGGACAGGGAACCTGTTGAGGGTGTGAAAGTTAAATAGGTTCATGTCAGTTTCCTTTCTATTATTCAGTTAGGGTATGTGTACACTTGCACCCTAGTTCAAACTAGGGATGCAAATGTAGGCATTCGAGATAGTCAATGAAATGGAGATTTAACTATCCTGTGCTTCATTAGCATGATCTCGCCAGCACGTTACTCTAATCAACAGCTGTTTCGAAAGTGAAAGTGCGCGCCTGGATGTGTTAGATCGAACCAAACCCCTTGATTCAAACTAATGTTACTCCTCAGTTTTTGAGGAGTAATGTTAGTTCGAAGCAAGAGGTTTGGTTCAAACTAACTCATCCCGGCGCTCACCTTCACTTTCGAATGGGCTGTGATTCGAACTAGCATGCTGGCGAAATCATGTTAATGAAGTGTGAGATATTTAAATCCCTGCTTCATTGACTATTTCGAATGCCTACGTTTGCGTCCCTAGTTCGAACAAGGGTGCAAGTGTAGCCATGCCATTAGTATCTAGTTTTCTTCGATACCTCCCCTCCTCCATCTTTCATGGCAGTGATCAGCTTGCATTTTATTACATACGTTCATAGAGCTCATTTGTCAAATTCAGTCAAATAAGAATATTTCAAATGCTCAGCAATCAATTTCTTTTCCTCTCCTGGTAATCATTTATTTATAGCAGTTGTTTTATAGTATTATAGGATGCCTTCCAACTTTGTTGTAACCTCTAAGCATTAGGAATGCTTCAAGAACTCCCCTCTTTGCTTTCCCTTTCTCTCTGGCTGGTTAACGTTTTGGATATTTTATAATCATCAATTCCTATCTTTAGTCTGTTGCTGGTTGGCTTCTACATGTTCTGATATGGCCTAAATTTTAGATCAAGACCCTTCAGTCTTTGCATTCTTTTAAATGTGAGAATCTAACTAGAGCAATCAATTGAAAACACAAAAACTACTGTATATATGGGTACTAGTGCTGTTTTTGACTACCTCTCTCTTACTCTCACATAGCTTCTCTCCTCACTTGTGTGTGCTTCCTTTTGTTCTGGTGGCATGGCATACTAATGTACTGATGACCTTCCAGTTCAAACAGTGCTCTATATGTTGTTTATAAAAATGTTACACACAAGAATTTGCATTCAAAGAACACTTTGAAAAACTAAGCCTATTTCTATTTGCACAGAAGTTTGCAAATAGCTTTGAGATGTAATGCCTTTCTCATTGCTAAGAAACCTCTCTCTCCATCTTGTTTCAATGGCATGTGATGACAGCTAATGATGGTGACACAGCTGAAGTTGTTTCATGTATAAAGACTTTTTGTCCTTTTTTTCTGTGGTATTAAATATCAGAGGCTTCTTGATCTAAGAGGTCATTTCCGCTCAAATAATTAAATGTTTGTTATTTACAAAATGACATTTGGAACGTGAGCAAGTCTACATTATGATCTTAGTGGTTTAGATATTTTAAATGGATTGTTTTATAAAACGTCTAAAATATCAGCTTTGAAAAGTTGCTACTGCATTAGATTACATAAAGATTTTTCCTACTGATGCCCCAATATATTTTCAATACTGATTTACTACATTCCTTTCCCTTTTAATTTGGCAGGGAAAACCACCTTCTAAAATCTAGTTTAAAAGATGAGGGGGTTGGGAAGTCAACCAAATTTGCAAGAGAGAAATGTGATTTTGGATTTTTTTCACTTCTTGCTCATGTTCTCGCCCCTCTGAGCCCTGGTCTATACTAGGGAGTTATTTCGAAATAACCCCCCTTATTTTGAAATAATAAGCAGAGCATCCTCACTACCAAGCCATTATTTCAAAATAAGGGGTTATTTCAAAATCCCTACTACTTCTTTGCTTGGGGAATAAGTTTATTTCATAATAGTTATTTCAAGAAGCTATTATTTTGAATTTAATTATTTTGAAATAATTTCCTAGTGTAGACATGCCCTGAGACTTACCCTGGGTAATGCCACTGAATTCATCCTTACAGAGTACAAGTCAAATTTGGTCAAGTTTATCTCACTCTTCCACCCCTTCTGATTTAGATATACTTGCCAGTTTACTAGTGCTCCTCTATTCTCCTCCTATCATCTCTCAAATGGTATAATTCTTTTCATTCCATCTTTCCAATATTCTCACATAGTTCTCTCGTCACATTCCTTAGGTTTACACATCTGTGTTCTATTGTTAAGTGTCTGTGTGCGGGACACTCTCTTGATCGCTTCTTTGTCTATACTTCTTTTTCTTCATATCTTGACAAATCTAAGTCCTCAAGCTCCGACATTCAGTTTGTCCAATATGTTCAGTCCTAATTAGAAATGGAAGACATATACCCTCCACCTTAGATATTGCTACTAGTTTCCAGTCCATTTCACAATCCAGAAAAAATCTATTTTATGAACCTCAAACACCTCCCTGGTCTAGTCCTCTTTCATCTTCCTAAAGCCATCTTGTTGTGTTTCCAAACTCATTACTTATACTCTTCTGGTACCTAAATGCTTTCTACCATCTCTCTGTCTGCCTATATTTAAAGTGAGCAATATACCTTTCTCTGCTATTTCTCTCATCATTTGGTACAGATCATATGCATCTACCTGACTCAACAAGTCATTTCAAAGCAAATATGAAGGCCCATCTCATCTCACTGGCCTTTGATTGCTAATCCTCTCCCTTCTATAGCCCATTCCATGAGCCCCCTGCTTTCTCCGTGATGTTCTCCTCATGAAATACAGGCATTTCATGGAGCCTTCTTTCACTAGACTCAACAATATTTTCTACTCTATAGATTACCCACATCGTGTGAGCCCTTTTCCAGTGTCCAAACATGAAAATGAGACCACTGTGGTTCAGAATACGTATGATAGAGGCTAGTCACATAATTTATTGCTCTTCTGGATGGTGCTCAGCTATGAAGGCAATGGGCATGTTGTAAGAACCTGAACAGAATAGGTAATGGAGTCTCCTATGTTACTTTTATAGGAATGATTATATATACAATTACATTGTATATTATGGTTGTACGGTTTGCCTAGGCCAGAGAAGAATGGGGATTACAAAGGACATAGCATCAGTCATATCTTTGATTACTCTTTACTTTGTTTATTTTGTGTTTCCACCTCCGTGTTATTTTAACCTAACTTTTGATATGTTCATTATCATCTTTGATATCCACCATCACCATAATTGCCAGTATGTTATATTAAAACTATTACTCCCATTTCTTTGCAGGTGAAATACCTTTAGAATTCAATCTTTGTTTCTTTCTGGAATGATCTAGACAAGAATAATTTTTACAATCTAGTTTCGGTTACTGCAGTTGCACCACCATAAAAACCCCACTACAATAAAAACATTTAAACTATTTATAGCACTTCAGAAATGAATGACTAAATTGCAGTGTTGTATTCATTACCTAGTTCAGTAGGTTTATGATATTTTAGCACCACTTTAAACTCAACATGGATTATATCCTTGAAGGGCAAAGAGATCTTTGTGTAATTACTATTCTGTTGTTTACCACAGTCATACAAAAATAATTTCATAATACTTCCATTTTTTCAGAATTTGACATTAAAAGGTAGGTGTTTTTCTGGCAAATAAACCACAGTAGAAATAAAAATCTCAACTCTTTTCTGGCAACCACAGCCAATATACATATCTCTTAGTGAGACATTAGCCTGGAGAAATATTGAACCTATTGTCCTGGGGTTAGAGAGCAGGCTATACAGGAACATTTATTTGATACACAGTTTTCCAGTATAAAGCTAGAAATCTGTTCTTTTAAAACCAAACTTGCATGTGATATTCACAGACCATATTTCTGGTTGTCTTATTAGAGGGAGCTTTGAAGCTATACTCTGGCTTATAAATGTCAGACCACATTTTGCTCTCTGTTACAAAGCCAATGACTCTATTCATTTGCCAAAAATTACCTCATTGGTGCTGCCAAGTATAACTCAAAATAGCCCTACTGATTGGAGGATTGAATGACTTGGAGGCTGGTAATGGGCCATACAAAATTTCCTCTCTAGGCATCTGGTTCAAACAAGGCTCAGTCTGAAACCAACCTGAAGTCATGATTTCCTGAGAGCTGTTCATTGGCATATGAGCAATGAGACTCATTGCTAGTGGCTGAGCATACATACATGGAGGTTGTGTGGTATCCATTTTGGCAGTCTCAGAAGAGAAGTCCGGATGAAATGGAGACAGAGAGGGAACACCCCTCTGATCTTCTAGTGATGGAAACACCAGAAAAAAAAAGGCACTGCCAACCCCCATTCTGTAGCTGTTCGGGGATAGAACACTTTGCTCACTGTGGCAGTCAATCTAGCTCATTTAAAAATGAATAAGTTTACTGAGAAAAAAAATCAATTGCTAACATTCTTTGAAGTCTCCTAAAATATATTGGTTAATGCCTGGAAATCTCCATAGTAAAAACATCCACCAAGAAAAACTTTGGGGTGTAATAGATTTATTCTGCTTTTCCAAGTAGCAATGTCATTTCAGAACAACAGTGCACCCCCGGTTTGAGGGGAAACGGTGCCATTCAGCTACTCAGCCACTCCCTTCTGAAATGAAAGTAAAGTGTTCTGCCACTGCCAACTGTGACTTGGTCTTTGTTGGCCAAACCAATGTGAATAAGTATCACGGCAGATATTAGGGACCTTCAGGACATAGTGCATATGCAGAATTATGCAAGCACCTACCTGCATCTGCAGTTTGCAGGAGCAACGCTCTGGGTGTGGATTTAAAGAACTGGAACTCCTTTATGTATGCTGGTTAGCAGTGATGGAATTTGCACCTGCAAAATAATCATCACAGTCTTAATCTTGTAGCAAATGAGATTGTTGGCAGGAATGTTCACTGAAACAGTCAACTTTATATGGCTATTGCAGAATGTTCAGAAAACACCAACTTCAAACTAATACCATCTTATCTACAATTTACTTGGGTATGTAGCTTTGACAAGCCCCTTGCTCATGTATTCGGAGGCATGGTCTTTAATCAGATAAACATCTTCCAGACCTGAACATTTCCTTGGAGTATTTACACAAAATACCAGATTGAGAAAGTTTTAAAAAAATGAGGGAATCTCAGTCTAAAACCTTCTTACTTTAGTGGATGAAGAATGAAAAACAGAAGAGGAGAAAATACCATAAAATGCTCATTGCACAACCATGGCAGAACCTTACCCTCCACTTCCATGTAAATCCCAAGTATTTAATACATAAACAGGATTTGCTTATCATGGTCATAGAATATGCCTGCAATTATCTGCACAAAAGGAGGAGAGATATAGAGTGCTTGTGTTACGACTAAATAATAGACATTCCTTTGTTGGTTCAGGATGCGTGCATGTATTAATAAAGTATAATTTGTTATCACTGACTCACTGCATTAATTTGCCTTGCTCCTATTTATTTAATACATTGTTTCATACGATTTCACAGAATCATAGACTTTAAAAATCAGAAGGCCCCATTAGCTCATCTTCTCTAGCTGCCTGTCTGAGCAGGTTCCTTATCATACATTTTCTTACACTTTGTCTAGATTCATTTTAAAATGTCCCAAGCAATTTAAAAAATAATTTCATTTAATGTAATTGTTGCACCATGCTATTCCAGAAGCAAAAATGTGATAGTATATCCCACACTGGTGGTCTCCTAGTAGGAGGCCATACCAAGCCAGTAGTGTGAGAGATTGGGGATGAAATTCCAGAAGGGACTTTAAGGGTACATCTACACAGCAAAAAACAAACAAACAAAAAACAAACAAAAAAACCCATGGCAATGAGTTCCGAAGCCCATCAACTGATTTGGGGTCACAGGGCTCATGCTGCAGGACTAAATACAGCAGTGTAGACATTCGAGCTTGGGCTAGTGTCTTGCTCCCCTCCCTCAGCCAGATTTCAGATCCTGGTCTACAGCCCAAGATCCAATATCTAAACTACTACTTTTTGATACTGCAGCATGTGCCCCAGAAACCCGTCAGTTGACTTGGGCTCTAAGCCCAACTACTACATCACTTTTCTTGCTCTGGAGACATACCCTATGATCCCCATTTTCAGCACAGGCTGAAGAAATCAAGTATCATGATACACTTTGAACCTTCCTTTTGCATGGGAAAGAAAAGGGGAATTGAGGCCCAGAAGATGGGACACAGAGTGCTCTGGAAACATAAAAGAATAGCTATTTTTTTATTTTGTTTTCTTTTGGTTTAAGGATTTTAGCCAAAGGGAAGATGAACAGGAAGTGTGATGGTTTTGCATACAGGATATTTTGCCTGCACAAAACTACAAAAAGCTCCGCCATAGTGGAGACGGTTTGCATTTCTTACGCTAGGACATCTGTGTAACTGTCATCCAGCCACATTGATCCCGGACCAGGTTCAGTGCTTCCAAATTCCCCCTTTTAAATACAACTATACCAGGAGATGCTCTTTGCTGAGTAGCCAAGTTATTTGTAGCTGGTAGCAAAGCCCGTTGTTAGTATCCAAATACTTCTTGTGGTTTTTAGTCTCTTTGTTGTATCATTTTTTCCTGGGCACTGCTCTCTATTTCTCATCAGGCTATTCAGATGAGCTATCAGGCTACTCCTTACTTGCTATATTTTCTATAGACTCTACAGCTGAAAACTGTTACGTTTAGAAAACCACTGAACATATACTGTGAAATTACCAGGGAAACATTTATAGGACGTTGGCCTAAATATTTTAGAAGAGAAACATCAACGAGGTTTCCTTTTTGGACAGAGAGATGAATTTGGCAGAGCATCATGAAAATATAGCCAAATATTCCCATTCATGTCTTACGAACCTTAGAAGAGAAAGATGTCATAACCCCTGATAGGCTCTGGCTCTTTTGCATTGTCTTCTCCTAGTGTGGACCTTCCTAGAATGTAGGTCCCCAGATCAAGAGAGGATATTCATGATCCTCTATTGTTATCATTCTGTCTCTCAAAGTGTTCTAGTCTGTGGCATTGCCACAGAGTCTACCTAGCCACCCCCACACAAGCCCCATTGCAGTGTTGAAAAGTGACAAAGAAGAAGCTTTTGTTGCTAGTGCACCAATATTATGATGTTTTAAATATGTAGGTCCCAAATGACCTGTAGGATGCACCACATTTCCCAACAGACCTTGCAGACTAGCTGTTACCCTGCATCCTTATTCCTGTTGCTACACCCACTTGGATCCATCTCAGGACGAACAGAGAGGGGCTGCAAAAGAGCTAGATGCAATGATGGAGGAAGCATTTCCTTGGTCATTCATGGGATTTAGATGTTTCAGATGCCTTCTATACTACATAAATCGTGGGAAGCCTATGTTCCCAAAATAGCAGGCTTCACAAGCCGATTTGCAAGGGAACAATGTATCTTCCTGCCTAGTCCTATTACTTCTCTGAGAACACCAGCCACTACAGTTTGAAAGCCAATACCGTTTCATCTCCGTGCAGGCTTTGTAGATTAATGAAATGCCAGTGTGTTCAGCACATTATGACAGAATGTGCAGTGCAATAAACAGATTTCCTCTTCTTAGCAGTAATACCTGAAATCTGATGTCTTCCCTCTTTGTGGCCTCATTGCTTCTAGTTACTTCTTATAGTCCTTCATCAATTTCCATTGGTATGTGTCTGGCAAACTAGAAAGATGTTTAAAATAGCAACCAGGTGAGTAGCGTTTTGTTTCTCACTATTATTAAAGTTCTACCAAGGAGCTGTGAACCACTTCAGCACATTTTCTAAGCTACACAGTGTTATTGATTTCTCCAGTTTCTGCTTCATGGGGCACTTAGTAAAAAAACAGTGACTCAGCTGGTCTCCTCAGTGGAGCTGCTTTACATGCTCAGAGTGTGTTGCTGAGTGGCTAAATCAAAGGCAATTCTTTTAATGTAACCAAACTGGCATGGCAGGCAATAGCAAGGATCTTGGATAACTTTGGGAAAAAATCATTGTAAATACTACTAACAACACGTTTGATTCTGATCTCACTTATGTGGGAAGTAACTCCATTTACATCCGTGGAATTGCTCTCCATTTGCTTCATTAGAGGTGCATTCGGAATTGGACCCAATTGCTCCCATACTGGTCACATTCTGTACATTAAAAGGCAGCAGGAACCCTTCCTTCAAGATCAATGTAGCAAACAGAAAGTTCAGAAGGTGAGAAGACTGCCATTTCTGAAGCGCTTGCTGAAAAGCAGAATCTTCATCCGCTTAAGCTAAGAGCCACTCATTTAACTATCTTTGAGAAGTGTTGTTGCTATTCAGATCCTTTCAGAAGCTTTGTGGACACCATTATAGCTTGCTTTCTGCAAGAATATCTTACTGGAATGGTTCCTACATTTCTAGGCAGATCCTGTACTGGGGATAATGAGTCTGTTGACACCTACTCATACTCTGCTTTGTTGTCTAATGATTATACCAATTTACTGGATATTCGGATAGAGGACAAAATCTTGCACTTCCTGTTTGGAAGCCCCATGGGTTGTGATGGGTGGACAGTACTGGCTGCACAAGGGCTTCTGAGCCACCCAGCCAATGAAGGGAGGAGGATGCTGTGGATTGGACCGTAGCCCTATCCCAGAAAGCACAAGTAGAGGAAAAACGAACACTGGACTAACCTGAATGGAAAAAGCCTCGCACTGAGTCTTGAACAAAGTCTCAGAGAAATGCTGGTGGAAGTAGAGGGAG